GAGACAGAGAGAGAGAGAGAGAGAAAAAGAGAGGGATAGAGAGAGAGAGAGAGAGAAAGACAGAAAGAGAGAGAGAGAGAGAAAAAATAGAGAGAGAGAGAGAGAAAGAGAGAGAGAGATAACATAGAAAAGGGCGATAACAGTGGATGCGCAGAGCGAGACAAAGAGATAGAGAGAGAGAGAGAGAGAAAACAAACAAAACAAGCGAGAGGGAAAGAGCGAGACAGAGAGAGAGAGAGAGAGAGAGAAATAGAGATAGATATAGAGAGGGAGAGAGAGATAACGATATACATTCTATGTGTGACAAACAGCATAACGCACGTGGCCACGGAAGGGATGCAAAGAAGTTATGGCAGGTAAGGATCTTATTAAAATGCCATTGCGCGTGATCGCCCAGAAGAGGTTTGCAGCCGCGTTTCTTCTAAGGCATCTTTAAAGAGATCGGGCTTGCCCCGGCCCGTGAGGCCACGCTCGCTTATCATGGCCACGCGTGCTGTCTTGCGCAACAGTTACCCGAGTGGATGCAGGTTTTTTTCCAGACGTGGCTACCTGTGGTCTTTTTGGAAATGCATGATCATACCGGTTGAGATGTCGTATAATTGCAAGGATGGAAACCGTTCTTTTTCAAAACGGGTATTTTCCAGAACATCAGGCACATTGGGCGCATGCCCTTCCGAATGGCGCGTTCCACGTTGAGAAGAACAGCTATGAGGGACCATATAGCGAGGGCGGGACTTGGAGCGGCAGGGCGTATTGCAGCATCTTTGACGAACCTTGGATTTACTTTGGTCCTCCTCTTGTTCCTCTTCGTCTCACCCTTTTCCCACCCTTGTTTGTTCCCCATCCCGCAGAATTCGCAGTCCTTCCTTCTCCCCCCCATTCTCCAACCTGTTGCCTTTCTCCTCTGGGTCGCAGTGGCATTCCCCTTTTCCTTTTTCTGACCTCTCTCTTTTTCCCTGTCTCTCTCTCTCTCTCTTTGTTTCTTTCTCTCTCTTTCTCTTTCTCTCTTTCTCTCTCTCTCTCTCTCTTCCTATCCTCATTTCGTTCCGCGCGAGTACACACCCTGAAAAGTACTTTTCCGTTCTCCCCTGAAAATGTGCGCGCGTGTTCCGGCCTCTGTCGCGTATTGCTTCCAACAAACGTGATTCGCACATTGACCTTTCTATTGTTTCGATCGGAACGCATTCGGTCCTTCAACAATGGTGTTCCCGCTGCAACGTTGGTCACGTTTCAGGATCGGTGCTCTGCCCCCGACGATCACAATTGCGCTTTCGCTTCGCATGCTGTCTCTGTCAGCTCCTTCCCCAGTTTTCCTCCTTCTTGTTCCTCCCCCCCTCCCCCCTCTCTCGCGGCTGCTTCTTTCGAGACGGACTGGGTGAGTCTGGTACGCGGCCTAAATACTTGCCTGCTAGTTTGTCACTCCACTTCGTCCTCCCCCCGCTCTGCCCCCTCCCCCCTCTACCCGAGTCCGGTGCCGTTGCAGGTTTTTGCTTGCAGTGCCCTGCGGTCGGCGTCGATCGGCGGAGTTTCGGCTGCGCTAGTAGGACAGTCAGTTGAGCTGGCTTGCTGTGTTGTCTCTCTCTCTCTCTCTTGACTGTTTGTCCGTGGTATGCGCGATCAGGATCGCCATCTTGAGGAGCAGCGGTTTCACCCTCCTGCTTTGCCTTGTTGTTAAAAAAAAAGATCGGCGCTCTCGCCCCAACGCGGGCCACATTCTTGGATCCAGTTCCTTCATCGTCGTCGCCGCCTTCTTCCTTTACCCCTTCTCCGCTTTCCGCTGGTCCTCCTGCTCCTTTTGCTTCTGCACCTGCTGCTGCTGATCCTCCTCCTCCTCTTCCTCCTCCTCCTCCTCCTCTTCCTCCTCATCCTCCTTCTCCTCCTCCCTTTCCTCCTTCTCCTCCTCATCCTCGCCATCGATCGTCATGTTTCCTGTTCTGCCAATCTTCCTGTTCATCGGCGCCTCCTCCTCCTCCTCCTCCTCCTCCTCCTCCTTATTCTTGTCTCCCTCAACCGTCCAAAGCCGCCTTTTCTGATTGCGCATCACATCATGGGGCCATTTGCAGGATCAACGTCCGTTTAAGAAACCAGTGGATGCACAAAAATTCAGCGCAGTCGGAAGGGATGGGCGGGAAGGGTAGGGGATTGGATGTCTGATATGGCGCGAGCGCGCCTAGCTTGCCCTCTCCCAGCTCCCTCTCCCCCTTTCCCTGCCCCTCTCCCCCTCCCGCAGCTCTCGCGTTCCCCCTCTCCCTCGTCCTCCCCCCCTCCCTTCCTCCCTTCCTTCCCCCTCCCCCTTCCCCTCTTCCACCCTCCCCCTGCTCCCCCCTCCGGCTCCCCTTCCGCCCCCCCTCCCTTCCCCTCCCCTCCCGCTCTCCCCCCCCCCTCCGCCCCCCCCCCTCCCCCCCTTGCCCATCTCTGTCCCGCCCCTCTGACCCCCCCTCCTCTCCCTCGCCCCTCTTCCCTCCTCTGGGCGCCCGCGCGGGCGGGCTCGCGGCGCCAGGCCCTCGCCTTTCTGCGCAAGCGGAAGCCGCTGGGCGACACGGTGGAGGCTGGCCCGCTCGCCGGCCCTCCACTAGGCTTCCTATCGTGGGGAAGAGGAGGGGGGGCAGGAGGAGGAACGGATGAGGAGGAGGAGGAGGAGGAGGAGAGAGGGAGGAAGGAGGAGGGATAAGAGGAGGAGAAGGAGGAGCATAAGGAGGAGGATAAGGAGGGGACATAGGGGAGGACTAGGAGAGGGAGGAGGAGAGGAGGAGGAGGAGGAGGAGGAGGAGAGGATTAGGAGGGAAAGTAGGAGGAGAGGACTAGGAGAAGGAGGACGAGGGAGGAGGAGGAGGAGGAGGAGGAGGAAGAGGATAAGGAAGATACATCATAGGAGGACTAGGAGGAGGAGGAGGGGGAGGAGGAGGAGGAGGAAGTTGAGGAGGTGGAGGAGGAGGAGGAGGAGGAGAAGGAGGAGTTGGAGGAGGAGAGGAGGAAGATGAAGATGATGAGGAGGTTTGTGGAGGAGTACGATGAGGACCAGAGTGAATTCAAAGTGTATCAGCGATGCTGCAAGATACCATCCCGTCCCAAGTTCCCTTGTCATAAGTCCCCACAATCCTTGAGAAGGCGAGCACCCAGTGGAAAGGCGAGTGCCCTGGAGAGGCGAGCACCCTACGGGCTACCACTCAGACGAAAGAGCCGTTTTGAGAAGGAATTGCCTTGCATCTTTCAGAGAAGATACAGAATTCAAGGGAATATCGTAAAGAAGTTAACCGACGTGTCCAGTGAGAGCCCCGCTTTGAAAAAGAACCGTCCCCCATCCGTGAAAATGTTGTAAATGTTGTGCACGTTTACATTGCTATCGCTAAATTAAGGAGAGTCTCACGCCAGAGCACCAGTTTTCAAAAGGAATCGCCCATCTGTGCAGCTGTTACACCTGTTCGAGCGTCTGGTCGTTAAATATCTGGGGGTCCCAAGTGAGACTTCCGCATTGGAGCGGAACCAAATGTGCGTGGCGCTAAGCCGAGAGCCCCATTTTGAAAAGGATCCGGCCTCCATCCGTGTAAACGCTGGAAGTTGTTTAAGAATCTGCGCAGCGCCAAGGCGGGACCCCTATTCTGACAGGGGTGCGGTCCTTGTAAGGACAAGAGTTGGGGAGGAGGAAGAGGAGGATTCTGCAGGAGGAGACGAGAAGGATGAAGAGGAGTAGGAGGGGGAGGAGGAGGAGGAGTAGGAGGATGAGGATGAGGAGGAGGAAAGGAAACATAATAATGGTAGTGAACAGAGAAAGACGAGCACTAAGACTAGTCAAATGGATATTACAAACATAAGAATATCAATAATAGTAATACGAATAGTAATCATAAGACGAATAATATGAATAAAATGAATACTAAGACGTGTTTAACAACAAGGGGGAGGAGGAGGAAGAAGAGGAGGAGGAGGAGGAGGAGGAGGTGGAGAAGGGGGAGGTGGAGAAGGAGAAGACTTGTGGAGGAGGAGGAGGAGGACGACGACAACGACAATGACGAGGAGGGGGGGAAGTGAATGGGAATGGAGGACGAGCCCTCCTCCCTCCTCGGCTCGGGAATTGTCGGGCGGAGTGGCGATGGACGTGCCGATGCGGGCAGACTCGAGCGGGGCTCGCCCGCCGCCGTTGGGCGGGGCGGCGGCGAGCGGGCCAGCGCGAGCCGCGAGCTGCTCCGCGCAAAGCACACCCTGCGCCAAGGGCGTAGCGTGTCGGAGACCCTGGCCCCGTCGAGCCGTGAAAAAGAGCACGACAGCCGTTTGTGTTTGTTGTTGTTGTTGTTGTTGTTGTTGTTGTTGTTGTCGTCGTCGTCGTCGTCGTCGTCGTCGTCGTCGTCGTCGTCGTCGTGGTTGTTGTTGTTGTTGCTGTTGCTGCTTGTTGTTGCTGTTGCTGCT